CGTCTTTATCAAACTAAGAAAAACAAAAACGTATATCAGTGCATTAATAATTATTAATACATTAATAACGATAATTAAGCTTATGATGATGACTGATGATAATGATCTTGATTCCAAACTTACTTCAAAGTTGCTTGGATTCAATGAAGATGGAGACGTTGGTGAGGTGGGATTCGCTGCCATTACATTTGATGATTCGATCACTTGGAAGCTAAAAACAGGAATTGAGCTTAACAAATATTATAGAATCCATTGGCACTGGCATAGCAAGCGAAACGCAAGCATTGCGTAAGTACAACACAAGCACAGCAAAAACAAAGACGCACCGAACGTGAGCACAAGGCAGGCACAACGTATGCACAACGCACACACAAAAGAATATAAGCGTAACGCAAACGGTAGCAAAAACGCAATAACGCAAGTACGACTGCGCAGGAAAGACGCAAGGAAAAAATCAACGCAAAACGTTCAGCGCGACGTAAGTACAAAAGATGCTACGTCGACTCACCCTTCTTTGAATAACAATCGTTTTCTGGTGTTTGGGGTCATTGAACTAAATTCCTCATTGCCGACATCTAAACCGCTCTTTTGCGGGTCTTTCTCTTCTTCTAAGAATAAACAAGCAAATGAATAAATAAACAAATGAATAATTGAATAAGGAGAAGAATAGACTGCCTTTACTGGACACTTGACAAGAAATCGCACTGATTAGGTTGATTTTCATCGGACTTTGAAACAATTACTACTAGTCAGTGTTTNCAAAGGATGGCATAGAATGGCAGGGGAATGTATGGCATAGGATGTTATGGGATGGCAAAGGATGGCATAGAATGGCAGGGGAATGTATGGCATAGGATGTTATGGGATGGCAAAGGATGGCATAGAATGGCAGGGGAATGTATGGCATAGGATGTTATGGGATGGCAAAGGATGGCATAGAATGGCAGGGGAATGTATGGCATAGGATGTTATGGGATGGCAAAGGATGGCATAGAATGGCAGGGGAATGTATGGCATAGGATGTTATGGGATGGCAAAGGATGGCATAGAATGGCAGGGGAATGTATGGCATAGGATGTTATGGGATGGCAAAGGATGGCATAGAATGGCAGGGGAATGTATGGCATAGGATGTTATGGGATGGCAAAGGATGGCATAGAATGGCAGGGGAATGTATGGCATAGGATGTTATGGGATGGCAAAGGATGGCATAGAATGGCAGGGGAATGTATGGCATAGGATGTTATGGGATGGCAAAGGATGGCATAGAATGGCAGGGGAATGTATGGCATAGGATGTTATGGGATGGCAAAGGATGGCATAGAATGGCAGGGGAATGTATGGCATAGGATGTTATGGGATGGCAAAGGATGGCATAGAATGGCAGGGGAATGTATGGCATAGGATGTTATGGGATGGCAAAGGATGGCATAGAATGGCAGGGGAATGTATGGCATAGGATGTTATGGGATGGCAAAGGATGGCATAGAATGGCAGGGGAATGTATGGCATAGGATGTTATGGGATGGCAAAGGATGGCATAGAATGGCAGGGGAATGTATGGCATAGGATGTTATGGGATGGCAAAGGATGGCATAGAATGGCAGGGGAATGTATGGCATAGGATGTTATGGGATGGCAAAGGATGGCATAGAATGGCAGGGGAATGTATGGCATAGGATGTTATGGGATGGCAAAGGATGGCATAGAATGGCAGGGGAATGTATGGCATAGGATGTTATGGGATGGCAAAGGATGGCATAGAATGGCAGGGGAATGTATGGCATAGGATGTTATGGGATGGCAAAGGATGCCATAGAATGGCAGGGGTATGCATGGCAAAGGATGTCATGGGATGTCAAAGGATGCCATAGAATGAAAGGGGAATAGAATGGAATGCCATGTAAAAGATATGTGTCAATCTTTTACCAGTAGGTCAGGGTGATAGTAGACATTCTCTTTGTCCTGTACTTCTTCCCATCTGATACAATCAAGTCTGCAATTGAAAGAAAGAGATTTAATATATTTAATATAATTAATAATATCTATGAAATGCCTAGATATTTCTCCATTTCGGAAAGTTCTTTCCAGGTTCCTCTATATAGCTACATAATTTACTTTTCAACACTCAAAGACAAAATCTGTATCTCTGCTTGCTCATTTAATACCTCTATTTATTACCAACCATCTAATTATTCAATCAGGCAATTGAAATGAAAATAAACTTATGTTACCAAAAGTTAATACACAGTGGAAGCGTTTTAGTTGGTCTATATTTTATTTGTCTTGTATGCGCCATTAAGTAGTCTATCTTACATGTATGTCTCATGGGACCCGACGCGTAAATTCACAGATATTATATCATACATTATATAATCATACACAACACTTACATTTTACAAGGGACTTTTCCTGTACCTGCAAAAAAAAGTTAATAACTTTTTAATGTCCTATGATCAATGGATAAATGAATGAATAAATGGAGGGATGGATGACTGAATCTAATAAAAAAGTATCCATGGACTTACTTTTAACTTTTAAAACCAATACTCGTCTTGATCTTAGTAGATTGACAACCTCCTCATGTGTCGCTTCATTTAAAATCAAATTATTCACAGAGAGGATCTCATCTCCAGCCTTGTGAAAACAACAACAACCATCAAAAAATAGAAATATCTACGTAATAATTATTGTATGGGCTGCCTGTGCAATATTTATAGAAAAGTATAGTGAGTATATCACTGAATGAATGGGCTGCCTGTGCAACAACTATCAAATTATAGAATGATCATATATTCAAGAAAGAACAATTCTGAGAAGTCAGATGGATGTCGAGTAGTTTTTCCAGGGTCCCTATTGCAAATTCTAGACAGGATCCTGTGAGATCCTAGTATCTTATTTAGTAATGGGATCCTAATTCGATCCAGAGCAGGTCCTACATGGGAATACTGATCTAGGTAAGATTCTAAAATAGGAATACATGTAGGATCCTAGCCAGGATTTGCATTAGGGGTGATGATGACTTTCAAAAATAGTGGTAATGCATGTCTGCTGTAGGTGTCTATATTAAGACATTGCAATATGTCTTATGACTACTATATAACATTATACACTTTTTATTTTCCAATTTATTCTATAATATAATATTTTTTTTAAATCTTACCTTGAGTCCAACAATATCTGCGGGTGACCCTCTCTGCACAAAAGACACAAAAACTCCTACTTTGTGCTCTCTTCCTAATAAAAATGAATTACAATCAACAGATAAGTTTTTTTAAAATTAAGAGATTTTTTAGACCTTTGGAACCTGTTCATACCTCCCCTTATACTGAACCCAGCCTCCTCTTTTCCTGTTCTATGAATCCTTACAACATGAATACCATCACTGCAAAAGAAACAAACTTTGCTAATAAATATTGAGATATTATCATTATTCTTACACGTACATGTTTAATATGGCTTCTGATAGCAATTGGCTTAGTTTGAAAGGGCCCTAGACAAGCAGGAATCCCTTAAAAGCTTTTGTTTATGCTTGAAAATAATAATATATATTCCTCAATGGTATATTACGAATTAAGATATTGTGAGATTCGATCTTAAAACCGATGGATGGAAAGGGATTTCGAGTGGATATTTGAAGTCCCCTAATTTTCAACATGAAAAATCTAAAACATATGCTAGTGGACCATGTCCCTCTAGTGCATCTGAATACAATTAAAGTTATAAGATTAGATTATACTCACCTAGGAGACTGTGGAATGAGTTTGAGAAATGCTTCACTATCACCTGGATTTATCAAATACCTAATAATAGAACCAGGAAATTATATAATTTATTTATAATAAAAGATAACCTTTAATTGTACAAAAAGTAAAACAAAAGCATAAGTCTAGATTACTTTTCAATGAATTTGAAACAAGCAAAAATAAATCGATGTTGCCCAAATTCTAACACCCTCGTACTCTGCATAATATCCAATAATAAGAGATCAATGAATCATTTATTTATCATTCTGTTACCATAGCAACTGTCATCATGGCAACTGTATTCACTATCACTGTTACCATGGCAACTGTTACTATCGATGTTACCATAGYAACAAACTCTCACCTGACATCTCTATATAGGGGGTATCTCTTTGGTGTRTTKAGGATTGATCGGATGTCYTGKACTAARACGGAKAGTTTCTGAGACCTAGAAGGAAWYGGAGAAGGAAATCAGCAGAGGKAGCAAAAGTAGCGGTTATGTCAATGAAACAGCCTTAAAGGGACACTGTCAATGGATGACATGCGCAGTAACAGTCTCACCTCTAATGGACTTTGAAACTATAACCTTCGAGGTAAATCATTTTGTGGTGCTTTTGACACACTTTGGAATATTCTAGATCTGTTTACGTTTACAAGCTGATTTATGTCGTGCCAACTTGAAAACACTAGCCTAGTGTTTTCAAGTTTACTCGCGCATGCGTGCCATTGACAGTGTCCCTTTAATTATCCTGATTATCTATTAGACAAATCCGAACGAAGAATTCCAGCACACAATGACAGAGATCAAGTTTCTATTCATGTTTTTGCGCAAAATCGTGTGGACTAGGCTAAAAATCTTGCCCAGACAAGGCTGTGCTTCCAGACATATTTCTTTATTCAGCCAATGAAAAAAAATGTCAAGCTTA